ATGAAAGGCTGCATTCTTCGCCAGATGTATCGCACTCTGACTATCGCTGAATAATTTAGAATNTCACAATAGCCCCATAATTTCATATATTGCTCTCTGACATCACCATTAGTAACATCTTTTGCCTTTCTTTTGGCCCTATAAACTTGGAATCCGCTCACATTAACCAAGAGTTTCNTAAAGTGATATTTTATGACGATATGTTTGATCCTCGAATGAGAGGCTGCATTCTTCGCCAGATGTATCGCACTCTGACTATCGCTGAATAATTTAGAATTGTCTTGCTCCTTACCCAACTCTTTCATGAAGCTCCTCAACCATATCATCTCCTTGCATGCCTCCGTGGCTGCAACATACTCTGTCTTTGTTGTTGAAATAGTCACTATTTTGTATAGCCTCGAGACCCAACTGACTGCTGCACTGCTTAATATAAAAACATACCATGTAGTGCTCTTCNCCACAATAGCCCCATAATTTCATATATTGCTCTCTGACATCACCATTAGTAACATCGTTTGCCTTTCTTTTGGCCCTATAAACTTGGAATCCGCTCACATTAACCAAGAGTTTCCTCTTTATTTTCTCTGGAATAAAAAAATATTTACCAATGGATTTTCTCTTACGTCATTAACAAATCTTGCCTAGATACTTGGAGTTCACCTGTTTGTTGTCGTAGTGCTTGTCACAATGATATGAGCTAGTCAATCTCTTTATCTGGAAAGTCTTGCTCTTTCCAATTTGGGAGACATGTATCCTNGAGTGATATATGTTGAACAAATCTTGACACGACACAACTTAGACATAATATGAATCTATGGAAAAATGTTGCTAGTCATAATCCTGCTTGTATGAGTTTTGCATAAATCAAAAACCATATATAGCTAGAATCTTTTCTCTCTCATCAAAATCTATCACAAATATGTGGGCATAAANCCGGTCACAATCATACTTGGAAATAGCAATAATACGAATATTCTCATTCTTTATATATTTGATATTTTACCATTCCTTAAATTATACTCCCTTAGTAGCTCTCTAAACACCTGAGTTGATTTCATTCTCATAACTAGTTTAGGATTCTCCATCATTTTCTCATTAAACTTGAGGTAACCATCACCCNTCGGTCACAATCATACTTGCAAATAGCAATAATATGAATATTCTCATTCTTTATATATTTGATATTTTACCATTCCTTAAATTATACTCCCTTAGTAGCTCTCTAAACACCTGAGTTGATTTCATTCCCATAACTAGTTTAGGATTCTCCATCATTTTCTCATTAAACTTGAGGTAACCATCACCCTTATCATATGTCATCTCAAAATAAGTAGTTCATCATCTTCCCCCACATCAGACCACCATNCCATAACTAGTTTAGGATTCTCCATCATTTTCTCGTTAAACTTGAGGTAACCATCACCCTCATCATATGTCATCTCAAAATAAGTAGTTCATCATCTTCCCCCACATCAGACCACCATTCCCTAACCACTTCCTCCTCAAACATATCATGTTCTGTTGCATTCCTAAAAGCACTCCCCCTACATATGCATTACTTCTTCCTTTTAGTTGTTATACCTCTGCATGTACTGAGCTTTGGAATATATCATCATAATTAAGACCCTTAATATTATCAAATAACCAAACAGAGTTACTATTACTATCACCCACTTCATTCAGTGTTCCAATTCCTACACTCTCTCCCATATCACCCACTTCATCCCCATGTGTTCCAATACCCTCACTACCTTCGTTATTCTCCCTTATATTGTCAATTAGTTAGTTTTCAACTTGGACCTGAGAGCTATGTAATTCCTCACACCCTCGAGCATATATAACCACCATTGGCAGAACATCGAAAACTCTACACATCTCATTATATCATAATTTGAAACAATTCTTTTCACACCCAAGTCTAGATTGCACCCAAGTATCCGATAGTAAAAATCAACATTCAAACCATATCCCCCAGCCTTCACGTACATGTCTGTGATCCTAAATAGGGAGATCGTATTAGGGTTACCACCATCCATAAGCACCATGGTACCACCATTGTATAAAACATCTGGTTCCAAATGGAACTGAACCCCATAATATAGCTCAAAGGTATTATTTTTATTACCCATTGTCCCCTTCACCAATTATAATATGGACAACTTGTCCCCCATCCTACTCAAGCAACAAAAATAAATTCTCATAAAAAATTGTTCAAATGCTTGTTGGACCAACCAACATAAAATAATACTTAAATCATAAAAATAAGAAAAAATTAGAAAATCACATATTTTGGGGCACCATCATTTCAAAAACACATGCGAATAACATAGACATCCAACACTTGAAGAAACATGTAGGACCACTCTTGAAAAAATATNGGAAAAAATTAGAAAATCACATATTTTGGGGGACCATCATTTCAAAAACACATGCAAATAACATAGACATCCAACACTTGAAGAAACATGTAGGACCACTCTTGAAAAAATATGCAGGACCATCAATTCAAATGCTTGTTGTCACTTTTACACACTGGGGTTTCAAAATTAAAACTATCTTTGATCTAAGATGGATTTAGTTTGATACTTTCACTTTTTCTCTTCTAAACACTTGGATTTCACTTAGTCACTCTACATCCCCACATTGAATGACTGAAATGTTTAGCATTCATTGTATATATACAAGGATATCGCGATCATTTTATATTCTTAGTTGACGGTGTCGTCTGTTCGAATAAGTCCAAAAACATGAAAAGGTAAAGTACTTATTAAAAAACCACAAGGGGGTAAAATATAATTTGCCCTCTCTTTTTTTTTTTTTTTGGGCAACGATATGTTGCACGTTTCATTTCTCAAAGGTTTGGATTTTCTCTAATGCACATTTCTTCAAATTCTTTTCAATTGTATATCGCTCACTCTATATTGGTTAGAGACTTCTTAGATAAATAATTCATTTTTATATTTAGGGTATGTGATCTACCGTGGAGTAAAAAAAAATGTATTCAAGACAATCTGAACCTTTTTTTTTTTTTTTGAAATGCATACAAGTAGGGATAGATTTAGGCATCAAATCCAAGTGCAAAAACATTCCAAAAAAATAGTTGTGAAAATGAAAAAAAAATGTCAAAATGAATTCTTTATTAAATACATACTAGGTAGTTCAAAAGAATTTTTCAATCTGTCAATGAAGGTCATCCGATCCATCCTCTAGATCTAGTGATGGAACTACTTGGAGACCAATGGGCTATGGCCACCACATATTTTCAAAAATACCCTATACTCACATCAAATTTTCAAATTTCTATACCTTCTCTTATGTTTTTAAAAATTTTGGTAAATATAGATATTTCATTTAGTGTTGTAAAAAATTTAATGGTCTGAAATTTAATAACCACCAATGAATATTGCTCAAATGGATGAGTATTATTCTTACAAATGAAAACAATTGTTAGGATGAGGTTGATAACTAAAAAAAAAAATGTTGGTACAAATTGTGTTACAAATATGACGTATATCATCAACAAAGCATTGATCCACGAGTTACTTTCACTATACTATTGGAAAAGAATATTTAATGATGGTATTTTGTTAGTGGTCATTACAAAATATCATAAATGATGAAATAGGCAGACCATGTTATTATTAAAAATTATTTTTTTACAATTGTAAGTGAGATATATATATTTTTGGTTTTTATGACCCAAACCAATTTTAACAATTTTACTGTAAAAATATTATTATTGATAGGTTGTTTGCAACCAAATACTTGATATCAATGATAACATGTTGAATAATCTCACTTACTAGGTTTCCTAATTGTGTAATTTCTTTTATTTGGCCCCCTCACAATTAAATTTTAGTTATGTTCTTGCCTAGATCCATTTTTCCCTTCAAGAAGGTCACATCATCCACCCTTATTTAGCTCTTTCTTCTCTGATGAGTGATTTTCTTTCTTACCCTAATGTTACCCTTATTCTAGAATTATCCTAACCAATAAGAGTGAGCCTATGACTTGTAAATTTCATTTTATTCTATCGAAGCTAATGGTGTAAGTCACTGAGAAGTATGAGTTAGTGAATGAGCTTCTGAGCTATGTATCTGAGCTGTAAATTAAAGCAGATATGAATGCATAAATTTAGAGTGGTTCGTCTTGCTGAAGAGTAGGAGTAGTCCACTATTAAAGGAGACTCTTGCTCCTTGGGGGTGTGTATTGCTTGGGGGAAATAAGATACAGTAGGGTTTCTCCTTTTTCTGGTGTCATCAGTTTCCCCTTAGCCCCGGGCTGGGTCTGACTTTTTTCCTCTTATTTTATTCTGCGAGACTTTGCCTTTACTACTTGCTCCAGAACCATCGAATAGATTCAATTCAGTGATCAGGCCCTTGGTTGGAGCTAAGTGTTGTGCTTGTCTAGTCATGCTCCTAGAATTACATATAACTATACTTATGGTTCTGACCATTGTCATGTATTTGCACTGTTAAGGCAATGTGTTGTTAGCTTGGCACCTCGATTTTCAAGATATGCCTATCACAAGCCACCACGAGTCCCATGCATGATGGAGCATTAAATGCATTGTCGTAGGTTGTAACCACCAAAAGTTTCCAATTTAAATCTTTTCCCTTCCTCAGCAGCTTTCATCTTCATCATTTTCCTTAAACTAGAGAGAGAGAGAGAAATAACTAAATATGCGTGCTTTTAGTTCTTTATCACTCCTTTTTTTACATTCAGATCCCTTGTCGTCTTTCAAGCTTAGTTGTCCCTTCCCATAGGTACACCTTATCTTCGTCGTCATTATAGATTCATTCAACTCTCGATGATGGTCTGAGAACTTCCACTTCTTTGTTCTTAGGATTTTTTATCATAGGTGTCTTGGGAGAACTAGGCCCCCTCCCCTGCTTTGTCAGGCAATCAATTATAGTGAGGATCTTCCTTGCTTATGGTACGTATCTCGAGCCAGAAGTTCTTGAGGATTATTCCTTAAATCTTCCTGATTTCTACTTTAGGCTAAATTGCTTAACCCCAATGTATCGAGTGATTTCTTCATCCACCACTGATTCGTCATCCTCTAACTCATCGTCCTCCATGGCCTCTTTATTTGGGAATGTGTCTCCTCAAGCCAGGGCTAGTTCATCTGCTAAGGGTATTAATCTCGATGATATTTTAGAGGATGTAACTCCTCTTTATGTTGCCTACCCCCAGAAGCCCCAAAAAGGACTATCGAGAAGAGGCTGAGGAAGTCGTCTACCACTACACCCGCAAAATCCTCTCTAGTAGTTATAGGTCCCTCTAAAAGGAAAAAGCAAGCACCTCATGACCTAGACGACTTGACCTCCTATGTGGCTGACCTGTATAGCCTAACTAATAAGTCCCACGCAAGGTCAATTAAGGAGAAATATGGGTTTCCCGATGGAATAATGGTTCATGCCCTTTTCAAAGACAAACATTGTAATGGATTTTATTCTTGTTAGGCCTATTTCTATGAGGTTGTTTTCCATGTCAGCCTCAGGTTCCCTCTACATCCCTTTGTCATATCAATTTTGTGTCATTTCAATTTGTTTCCCGCATGTTTATTCCCCAACAAATGGGGTCTATTGGTTGGTTTGCTCATCCACTAGCAAGAGAGCATAATCAAATCTCTCCCCTCTATCTCATAATTCGCCCACCTTTTTCACCTTAAACCTTCTCCTTCTTGGGGCTTTTTCTATTTTACAAAGAGGGCTAACCGACCTTCGCTAGTCTTCAATACACTTCCTCATAAACATTGGAAGAAAAGGTTTTTCTATGTGTCTGGGAATGCTTGGGAGTTCAAAGGGGTAGTTGATGAGATTCTTTGGGTTCCTCGACTCTAAGCTCCCCCTCTTAATAAGTTCTCCTTTTTTCTTTCTTATTTACATTTGTTAAGGTTTAGATCGAACTGACTTGACTTTTGACTTATCATGTCCTATCCTGCAGATTTTGTGCCTCTGTGGCTCAAGTTCGAAACTAAGCGTATCTACAAGGTTAAGTCATACGGTGCTAAATTATGGTCTGAGCTAGTCACTTCATGGAAACTCGCCAAGTACAAGTTCGGTCCTCTAGTCAAATCTTTAACTTCTAGAAAGTAATAATTTCCTTATTCTAGATCTTTCTCTATGTTATTTTCTGCTCTAGACACCCGCATTTTCTTTGCAGCTCTTGTTGAGATGGCTCCCAACAAAAATACGTTAAAAAAACTTATAGAAGCCAGGAAAGAGGCTAACAAAAGGGAGGACCCCTACCTCACAGGAAGCTCAGGGGCCTAACGAAAGGCTTAAAGAAACTGAAGTTGGATTATCTAAACCCCCCCTTCCTTGTCCGAGGAAACCTCAACTAAGATTGTACCTCCTCATGAAGATCCAACCCCTTCTGAGGAGGAACATTCTCTAACCCAACCTGAAGAGGTCAATAAAATCTCTAAGGGGTCTGCCCTTGCTAGTTCAATGGTGGTTGCTTTGGCGTGGGCTAGTGATGTTACAGGCCAATCGTTGAGGAGTCCTTGTTGTGTAGCCCTTCCCTTGTTACACGTCAGATGGTCTTCATTATGGACCAACCTGACCTAAACAAAGTAGCTAAGTACAGTGTTAGGGAAATGGCTTAGGGTGCCTTGTATAGCCTTGTTAAGGTATTGATTTATCTTCTTTAATAGTTCATTTGTTTTGCGAGTGATTCAAGGAAACAACGAAATGTTGGAAAGGCTTAGTATTCCTAAATACTCAGTCTATGCTAGGTTTTCTAATGAACCTGAAGAATTAGATATGGTTGTCTCTAAGGCTGAGGAGCTTATGAAAGCTGAGGAACATGTGAAGGCTGAGGAGCATGTGAAGGCTGAGGAGCCTGAGCTTCTGGTTGAGGCCGAGAAGCCCAAACTTAGCATCTTTTAGTGCATTTAAATTGAGTCATGGGGTTGTAAAACCTGAGAATTATGAAAAATTCCACAAAGGCTAGCCAGCCTAAATTCATTGTAAATGTCTTCAAGCTGAAAAATCTTTAGTTCATTTTTAAATAGCTTAAGGCAGAAAAGACTTAGCTCATTATTTTGGGCTCTATAGTCTAGTGCTCTTATGTTGTCCCATGATTCATCTTGAGAAAGATATGTGCATGTGAATAATCTTGTTGTTTTCAATTGAATGGAAAAATTTAAGATGAGCACACTTAATACTCTAGACTGAACAGCCTAATGTGTTAGGGAGATCTGATCAACTCTTAGGCTGAACAACTTGTGTACGCATTATTTCCATACTTACAAGTTCAAGCGATAAGTTGTGTTTGAATTGATACTTAGGAATATAAATATACTCAGCGAATACAAATAAGTATTTCTTAAAAAAAAAAAAAGAGTTTTCAACATTTTTAATTAAAAAATACAAAGAATCGACCTGGACTGGCTACTGATAATATTTTCTAAGATGTTCTACATTTTAAAAGTGTGCTAGAGTGCGCCCTTCTTCGATTTGTAGCTCATAGTTCCTATGTCTGACCACTCGCTTTACCAAGTATGGTCCTTCCTGATTCGGCCCAAACTTTCCATATGGTGGATCTTTTCTTGTTGGAAGCCCCTTTTTGAAGACTGTGTCTCCTTTTCAAAATCTCTTTTTTCCTAGCCCTCTGCTTATAATATTGAGTTATCCTCTACTGATATAGGGTGATCCTTTGTAGAGCTTCATTTCTTTTTTCATAGAGGAGGTCAAGATTAAGGAGTAATGACATATTATTTTCCCCTAGTCTGACCAATTCTTTCTTGGGAGCTAGAAGTCATACCTCTAATAGAAAGATCACCTCTATACCAAAGGCCAGACTAAAAGGAGTCTTATTCATTAATGTCCAAGTTGTCAGCCTATAGGCTCATAAAACACTAGGAATGTGATCCATCTATTGGCTCTTTGAGGCTTCCAGCCTAGTGCTTTCACTATCCTCTTTATTGTTACCTACATTAGTCTATTGGCTTGCAAATGAGTTGGTGAGCAGTAAAAATTATTGATTCTCAGCTCCAAACAGAAATTCCTAAAGGCGTCATTGTCGAACTGTTTGTCATTATCGGTAACTATAGCCCTAGGGGATTCTAAATCTATAAATAATATATTTTTAAAAAAATTCTTCATTTTTTCTCAATGATTGTAGCCAGTGGTTTTGTCTATACCCATTTAGTGAAGTAATCGATGGCAACTACTGCAAACGTGCACAGACCTACCCTTATAGGGAAAGGTCCTACGATATTGATTCCCTGCTATTGGAATGGCTAAGGGCAGAGAACATGTGTGAGTTGCTCAAGCAAGCATCTGGGGTATGTTTGAGTGGAATTAACAAGCTTTGCATGTCCTGACCAAGTCAGGTGAATCCTTCAAGATGAAAGGCTAATAATATCATTGCCTCTAAGACTTGTACGCCAATGGTCTTGCCCTGATATGATTTCCACATATCCCTTCATGAATTTATCTGAGTACATAGTCGGGCTCTGCAGGAGCAACACATCGAATAAGAGGCCAGGAGTACCCTCTTTTTTGTATAGCTTGCCTTTTATAATGAGTGTTGGTTTTTTTTTTTTTTTGAGTCTAGTTTGTATATATGATCCGGATGATGACGGGGGGGCCGAAGTAATGTTGTGTAGTTTTTTAATGGAAGATTTTTCTGAGGCTTAGTCCATGGAGCGAAGGCTTGGGCCGATAGGGCCAAGCCGTAGCACTCATGGACAAACCTCGTGGGGGTTCGGGGGCAACGCCCCCAAGGAAAATTTTTGAGCCCGTTATACAGCCTAGTGCGTAGGACATATAAACCTTGTTGTTTTGGTGATTAGGGTTAATCATGGATTGTGCAGCCGCTCTCTGTATTCAACTCTCTCAATAGTGAAATTCCTGCAGCTTCGTGGATGTAGGCAAATTGTCGAACCACTTAAAATCTGTGTCTTGTTCTTTCTTGTTTCTTATTGCTTTATATTCTCGATTTGTTCTTCGATTGTGTGTGTTTGTTAGTGAATTTAAATTGTGTTAAATCTCAACAACTGGTATCAGAGCTCTAGGTCAAGAGTTTACACAATGGCAGAAGATAAAGTTAAGATCAAAAAATTCAATGGCACGAACTACNAGGCTGAGGAAGTCGTCTACCACTACACCCACAAAATCCTCTCTAGTAGTTATAGGTCCCTCTAAAAGGAAAAAAAAAGCACCTCATGACCTAGACGACTTGACCTCCTATGTGGCTGACCTGCATAGCCTAACTAATAAGTCCCACGCAAGGTCAATTAAGGAGAAATATGGGTTTCCCGATGGAATAATGGTTCATGCCCTTTTCAAAGACAAACATTGTAATGGATTTTATTCTTGTTAGGCCTATTTCTATGAGGTTGTTTTCCATGTCAGCCTCAGGTTCCCTCTACATCCCTTTGTCATATCAATTTTGTGTCATTTCAATTTGTTTCCCGCATGTTTATTCCCCNAAAGATGTAGATGGAGGATATTCTGTATTAGAAGGATCTTTATCAACCTATCGATGGGAAGAAGCCAGCGGATATGGAGCAAGCAAAGTGGGATGTTCTGGATCGCAAAGCCCTAGGGACTGTGCAACTGTGCCTAGCACCGTCAGTTGNCCTCTATCTCATAATTTGCCCACCTTTTTCACCTTAAACCTTCGTGCACAAACCTACCCTTGTAGGGAAAGGTCCTACGATATTGATTCCCTGCTATTGGAATGGCTAAGGGCAGAGAACATNAGCACCGTCAGTTGCATCGAACATCGACAAAGAAAAGACTACATCAGATTTGTTCAAAGCCCTAGAAAAGATGTACGAAAAGCCNTATGTTTGAGTGGAATTAACAAGCTTTGCATGTCCTGACCAAGTCAGATGAAAGGCTAATAATATCATTGCCTCTAAGACTTGTATGCCAACGGTCTTGCCCTGATATGATTTCCACATATCCCTTTCATGAATTTATTTGAGTACATAGTCGGGCTCTACAGGAGCAACACATCGAATAAGAGGCTAGGAGTACCCTCTTTTTTCGTATAGCCTGCCTTCTATAATGAGTGTTGGTTTTTTTTTTTTTTTAGTCTAGTTTGTATATTTGATTCGGATGACGACCCAACCCGAAGTAATGTTGTGTAGTTTTTTAATGGGAATTTTTCTAAGGCTTAGTCCATGGAGCGAAGGCTTGGGGCGATAGGGGCCAAGCCGTAGCACTCATGGACAAGCCTCGTGGGGGTTCGGGGGCAACACCCCCGAG